TGACACTGCACTTTGAAGGTGCGAATTGCATACCAAATAATGGGGCCACTCTAGAGATTCGATCCAGAGTTGATTGTGCTGCCGCAACGTCGTCGAAAGGCAAGACGAGATCGTCCACATAATCAAGATCAAGTAACCTTTCACCAGGCAGCACCTCAACACCAACATCGTGAGATTCCGCAAGGAAACACTCCATGATGGAGTCTACAACGAAATTGAACAAAAATGGGGTAATCGGACAACCCTGACGAACGCTACTTGTTGTCGGAAAGCCATCTGATAGGTCACCGCAGACCTTGACGCGACCTGTCGTTTTCGAGTGTAGAGCACGTAGGGTGTGCACATATTTCATGGGAGCACCTTTCCGTGCACGTATTTTGAACAGAATGCATCGATCGATTGAATCGAACGCAATCTTAAAGTCGATGAACACAGCCATTGTCGGTCTGCGGTATGCGTGGCGCTTCTCTAACATCTCCCGCAGAGTGAATACGTGATCTGTGCAGCCACGTCTTGGGCGATAACTGGCCTGCTCTTCCCTAATCTGAGATTCCTGTTCCGCACTTAAGCGGCTATCGTGAATCCAGGCCAGTATTTTTGTCACAACTGGCGTTAGGCTGATACGCCTGTGGTTAACAGTTGGTGCGGCTGTCCTTCTTGTATATTGCCACTATAATCGAATCGCTTCAGTTAGCCGGAACACTTTTTTCCTAATATGTTCGAGCAGGTCATTGTTTTGCAGAGGACCTCACCTCCATCCATAAATAATTCAGGTGGGACGGGATTCCGGCCAGATGCACGAAAGCGATTGAGGGCTGTGATTGCATTTCGGACCTCAGCCTCCGATGGAGCTTCTTAACTAACCGTACATGCACGTGCTGTATCTCCTGAGTAACTAGATGTCCGGGAGCATTGGACTAACTGAACTGATCTTGAAAGTGTTCCGCCCGATGGGTCATACGATTTTCCTTATTGTGTATCAGTGCACTCGCACTGTCTCTATCTCGCTGATATATGGGACGGGTGGTGCGGATCAGCTGGAAGAGCTTGCGTTAATTACCTACTACTTCTGCTGCCCCATTTTTGAGCCCGAGTGGTCCATCAGGCTTCCTTGTCAGCACGCAGGCTCCGCTTTAGTTCCCGCCAAATAGTTTACTTTGTCACATTGTGCTAAGAGCCAGGAGTTTTTTTGATTCCAACAGATTCACTGACCTCTCGGATATCCAGTGACGATTGGTAGTGCCACTAGCAGATACTCCTGCGTCGTACATTGCGGCCGAGATCCTATTCCACTGAAACAGTGTTGTTAGGACAAAGGAACGAAAGTTCGATACGCAGTACGTCTTGATGGGCTTGTCTGACTGAGGGCTGAGATAATTTCTCGGCTTTTGAGCAGCTGGGACCGAAGCATTACAATTAAAATCCTCCTACTCATTAGTAGTAAACTGTAGACTCTCCTAGTTTCAAATGCTATAGATGTAGCGTCTAGTGAGATGAAGTCGACCTTCGGAAGCTATCCATTGTCATCTGCCAAGGTAGTAACCTGCGTGGCAGTGGAAGATAGGTCGTGCTATATCACAGTTAACTTGCAAATTGTGTAGCCCAGCCGACGTCCTCCATGGCTCAGTGGCTTAAGCTGCTGGCTAGTTGGCATCTGCCTCTAGCGGTCATGGGTTCGATCCCCAGTAGGGGACTGAGGGAATGCGCACCACTGACGAGCCCCAATAGGGCGAAACGCGTCTGGTGCTTTTCCGGACTAGGCTGTGCCATGTAGCTTGTGAGCAGCTGGGACAAAAACATTACAATCAAATCCTTCTACTCATCAGTACTTTCTCAGTTGCCAATCGGAAGAGACACTTGCTGCATCTACCGGCAAAGTTCATGGCGAAACAACAACGTACCAAGTCATGATCAGAGTCGACCCAGGTATTCCAGTACGAGCGGCAATTCAGGATGGAACCACTCCACTTGTAACTTTTGGCAATAAGGTCAATTTGGGTCCATCGCTGGCCAGCTACAGGAGGACGCTAAGTGGCACTTCGGCGCCCGCTGTGTCTAAAGGCATTGCTACTAAGAAACTACCGGTGCTCCGCACACAGTTGCAGCAGACGCTTGCCGTCGTCAATCCGTTTCGAGTGTAGCTCATAGTTACCACCTACGACCTATTTGCGCATTCATATCCCCTGCAAATACTATAAGATCTGAACTTGTAGCACTGCGTCGTAGTCTGTTAAGCTCGTGATAGAATGTGTCCTTGACAGCATGTGAACTGCAGTCGGTGGGTGCAGAAGCGGAAATCACAAACATACAGCCTTTTGTACTGCTATGTACATCAACCTTACTGGACGTCGTCAAATGGGCTGCACATAAACAGCTGTTCACCGGAATCCAATCAACCAGCGATGACTCGGCTTTGGAGCTGTAAATATGACCAGATCACTGAACTTGCCCGCAAACTCCATCCTGGCAGTATCATTGGAACGGTCGTCCGCAAAATTCAAGGTGGCTGCTCCAACAAGTTCTGTTGATATGTCCTAGTGTTTGATTATTCGACACAAGTCAATATCTTCTTGTGGATAATCCGCGTAGCACTCATACTCGTACCCTATTGTTACAAGATCACTCAGCCCCAGTGGGCTCTCCATCTTTGGGTTCTTGATCATGAGCTCTTCGTTCATGAGCACTCAACCAAAACTGATGGTTTATTTCCAGTTCTGAATCGGATGTGCGAACTGACATGGATGAGGAGCGGAACGTCTGCAATAAGCTTTTGCAGGCCAGCGTTGAATTGATCGTTGTGAGATGCCGGAACTTTCATATGAGCATTGAAGTCACCTGACATGAGAACGTGGCTGTATCCTCGTCGCATGACCATCTCCAAGGCTAATGTCGGGTGAGGTGGACATTGGGGGACGATAAACAACTGTTGAATGGTAAGTATCGTTGCGTCTCAGTCGTAGACTGCAACCAAGTGAGTTCGTGGTCAAGGTTTCCGGATCATCTACCGGTTCACGCTGCAGGCCACTTCGATAGTATAGATGTACCTTACTGCCCTTGCTGACGCGATCGTTTCGAAGGAGTGACATACCATGTATCACGACTTCCGCGTCTGTAATTTCTGGGTGCAACCAATTTTCACTTGTTTCTAGGCATGTGACGCTTGACGTAGCCACAGTTTGACGAGCTTGTTCAGGAGAGCTTGTGCATTAATGTATATACAGGAACATTTCTCTGTTCGCAGCAGTGCGTCGAGGGAAGTGTGCTTTGGGTTTAATATTGTGCCGACCGATGAAACGTCGGCCGCTACTCATTTTTTGGGTGGGGCGGTAACGAACTCATTTGTGTGAGATTCAGAGATCCCGCCATTACCTCCTCGCGTCTCTCTCTGTATGTAATGTATGAGGTGTGTGCACCAGTTTTGTTGGCTAGTTGATTGATGTTACTTGATCCGTTGTCGGGAAGTGGTTTGGTTAAATAGCTGCTCTCGTGTGTTTGCTTAGGGGACGCCGATTTGACCCGGAGCTCGGAAGGTAGGCTACTGCGACTCACATACCAGCACTTCAATACTCTTGTTGACAAATGTCTGGATTGAATCACTACCTTCACAATCTTTGGGCCACATACTTTGTACCTTGGCGATCTGCGCAGCCTCGAGATCGATTGTGTTATGACCTTTCCCAAGGCTATGTACCGCCACTTCTCGCACGCATCATGTTCTCCAGCCTTGTGAACACTGCGCAGGCATGGTCCTGGCCCCCTACTTCCGTCCAGTACTCTTCCCAGCCGTGAATCGCCTGTTTGCACTCACTCCACAGAATATCCAGGAAAATGCGGATGGAACATGACCCATTCCGGAGGCGAGCTGCTGATAACAACTCGTTTGAGACCACAGAGGCTGCTGTGTGGCTCGGGATTCGGAAACTTACGCTTGTGTGTTTCTGTAGAAAGCACGCGAATAGTGTGATGTGAAGGTAAAATGTGACCCACACAAGCTAGGTCCCAAAGATGGAACGCACTAAAGAGCGCTGGTAAAGTTGGATCAAATGAGTGTAAGCACAAGTGTGTGCTGAGAACTGTGCCAGTATATCCGATTTGAGCACGAGGTCACTATCGCATGGCGATTGGCCAGGGTCAACATGTGCCACAAAATCCATACTGTCCCTGTCAAAATGGATCTTTCCATAATCCTTACTCTTCCCCATCCTTGAATACTGCAGGATCATTTCTCAGAAAATGCGCATGGATGACAGAAAGTTCTTGAAAACTGCAAATTTCATTCACTAAATGTTTACTCATTGAATCGTGTATCCTAAGCTATCTGAAGTGTCGCTAGCAGTTTCACCTCGAGCCTCTGGTTACAACACCTAAACCATAACCTGATGTTCCTGCACAATCACAAAAGCCATGTTCCAATACGTCTACTTCAGAACTGCAGCACAACTTCACTCGCAGATTTCACAACAAGACTTACAAACTCATTGTGCAAAAATCAGGCATCTGTTCGATCTGACTTCTTCCTCGTTTGATACGATATCCTGTGGAATAGCCTACCAGTCACTATCAGATCTCGTGCAATTGCAGGAACATTTTGCACTAAATTTAGAAACCGTTTTCTCCAGAACTCCATAATAACCATGTTTTCATTTGAAAAATCACGGAACTAGTTCTACCAAAATAGACCCAAGGATATATAGCCAGGGGAAAACCTGTTGCACAAAACTCAACACCAACAAAAACTATGTGCTTCAAAATGCCTTAATAACACGCTCCAGAATGTATATCTCACTCAAGCATGAGCTTGATAATAACTGTGTTAATAATCTATTTATTTCAGGACCATATTCTTGCATACTCGAAGTATATATATTGTTATTTTTAACTGATATGCATTGAAGCATGCGATCACATTATCGGTAACCTGAACATGTATGGGCAGGTATCGTTTATGATCTTTCGTCCAACGCAATTCGATGGTTCATTATTTCTTACTTGTACTTCAGATTTTACATCTTCGTGGCCGATGTGAGATCTTCCGTCACCTATCGACCTGCCGATAGCCATTGAACATACGATGGAATTTTTGTGGGATTCTTCCGTATTGTTCTATACTCAGCTCACATTTTTTCTCGTTGGCTGGTTGTTTTTTCTGCGTCATCTTTTTAGGGATTATGAAGTCGAAAACAATATTGTTGTTGCAATTTTCTCCTTAACGTTCACCTTGTCTTGTACCATGTTTGAGTTAGTGATCTTCGAAATCTTGGACATCTTGCACGCATCTTCTAGGCGCATTCACTGGCAACTAGTACTTTTAGCTACCCTGGTGGATGTCATATTTGTGGTCCCTTTCTACATATTTTTCTACCTTTCTAAAACCCTTCGTTTTCTTCCACCCAATCGGTCTGTACGTATGGCCTTCACATTCTTTGGAATGACAATATATTTGTACCTATTTTGGAAAGTGGGAAGCTCCTTCCCTGTCATTAGTCCGAAGCATGGCTTGGTTTCGTTCGAACAATGCATTGGGAGAATCGGTGTGATAGGCGTCACCATCATGGCTCTTTTATCCGGATTTGGCGCAGTCAATTACCCATACTCTTGTATGACTTACTTTGCTCAGCCTGTCTCTAGCCTGGAATTGAAAAACGCCGAGCGCAGATTACTTCAAACCATGGATATGATATTAGCCAAACGACGCCGACTGGCTCAAGTTCACTTTGAATCGCTTAAAGTAAGCAGACTTTCAGTTTTAACTATCGAGTTTTCTACAACGCATTCGTCTATTACATTATTTTTTTCATACCACAGGCCATCACCAGTCCTTAGAAACGCCTTTCTCATCTTATTCGTTTGGTTGTTATGTTAGATTTACATACTTATTGCATATTGTCTTTTCAACCATCGCAACAATACTTGGCGTGGTGGAATGTTTTGCTTAGTTCTATGATACTAGTCAGTGACCGAGTGGTAACCGGTTTGAGCCTGTATAGGGGACCGGGCGACCCTCGCAGTGCCCCTTGCGAGCGCGCAGCTAGTGATCGTAACATGGCACCGAAGCGTCGGTGCGGTGTACCGACGTGTACTACTGACACCTTATTACCTCAATGATCGGTTGAGCTACGTTGAGTCGCACTTTTCAACTACTCTCTGAGCCACTCATACTAGAGAGTTCATTGATTAGGGTTCAGGCCAACTCACTCCTAGTCTCTTATTTGGAAGTGAGGGCTAGCTAGGTGTCACTATTACTTCAAACCACAGTCATGGGTGACAACAGGTTTCGGGTTATGACTCAGCTCGATTGACATCGAGGGCATTAACTACGACGCACTGTGATTACATTATCTCCATTCCTCGTCACACACCGGAGGACTGTCTGATTGCGCTCCAGTATCTAGGACGGTGTACTACAGCTCTGAATTCTTCTGAAATATCTCAGCTGGTGTTGGATTATTCACCGAAGATATTTTCGGTCCAAAACATGTTTCCCGAAATGATGCTCATTAATATCCTCACATGTTCAAACCTCAAGTAATTGCTTCTGTAACTTAATCTCTGTTGTCTACTTACTCCTGTTTAGGTCGGTGATCGATACTATGTGACATTTTATCCATCGTCTTTTCGAGGACCTTCACTCTTCTGCCAAAATTTGCTTAACTGTTTTATCAGTAAACCATTCTTACCGATCACTTTGTTTTGCTCACTGTCCTGTTTCTGTCCATTTTCAGAACCAGGGTAATGAGAAAGGGGGTTTCTGGAGCGTTTTTCGCAATGTAGGGAATTCCCTTGCTTCACCGCGGGTCAATGAAAGATTGTTACGGATTGAGGTAAGTGCAGTGAAATAGTTCCCATTTGATTCACTAATTTCCTCCATCAGTGGCCTGACCGTTGTCACATCGTTCAGACGTCTGATTTGTGGCGCACAGGTCGTCAGTCCAAGTCTGCCGTTAATTGCGGCGCTCTCTCTATCCCTAGCTCACACGCGAGTGCTGATGGTCACGTGGCAATGAAACATCGGCTCGACTTACCGGCGTACTGCTGACGCTTGCCTTATATTCATTAACGCAACGCAGCTCACTATGGTCATTTCTGGCCTACACCTGGCAACATGTTTATTTTATTTTTCGTACACTTGAGCACTCATTCGAAGATTCTTATTTACACTTGTTACTAGCTATCTCCATTCATGCGCGTTTTTTTTGTTCACATGAAGAATTAGGCGCTAAGGCCATTTTGGCTCACCCATGTTATCTTTTCCACTTTCCTGTTATTGGCCGTAATGATTGCGCCCCTGCGTTGTAGTTCGTAGGTCACTGGCTCGAATCCACATAGGTGCGATCGACCTCGCGATATCACCAACCCTCGCGCAACTAGCAGTGGTCTCGTCACAGCGTTGCGTCAGTACAGTGTACTATTGTGCTACTGATAACTTTGTTTTTTACTTTCCCAGCGGTGTTTCGTCCACACTCCACAATAAACCACTGAACGTGTACAACTTACGATATTTACCATTTTTGTAATATGATCGAAGCAACTGTTTCCTAATGAGGTTCCCAGCAAAAGTGTTATAACTGGATTATTGTACAGTTTATATCCGAACAAATGTCTTTCCATTATGCTTTAATCGTTCAATAGTGAATGATGGAAAATAAGCAATAGCTTTAAAAAACCCACGGAATGGCAATTGCAAATAAAATGAAAATCAAAGTGTGTAACATGAAAAACCGGAATCTACCCATTACACTTTGTCATATTATGTGGGACGTTTATCACCTAGATGAAAGTCTACTAGCCTTCCGAATGCCGCGATGTTTGGTGCGTTCACCACATGTACTGGCAGTGCGCATTCCAGTGGAAACGGTTCTTAAGGGAGTAACTAAATCCTTTGTAATCCAAACGGGAATGTTGCGTTACAAGTTTCAGCATTATTTGCATGTGGTTAGGGTCAGCAGTGATGTAAATGGGTCCACGCTCTCAGTTACTATTCGGTAGGTTGGAGTGAGATCTCCATAAGGCTGTTGGTATTTTGAGAACACGCGGAGTAAGCGAAGGCGCAGTTCGTAACTGAGTCCGGATAGTTCACGTGTTGGCTTGGTGGCTTTTTGTAGCTGTTCCAAGAGACAAATGTCTCGTTTTAACCATGGGCGCCGGGCTTGAACCTCGTATTCAACGTAGCGACGAATATACGTGTTAGTCAACATGGCTACTAGATGTCGCCCGTAAGCACCCAGAGCTCGCCTCAAAGTCTCAAGTTCAAGATCGTCGCATTTGCTGCTTTCGAACATGAAGCAGATTGCCAAGAATTTCTTGTACGATGATGCTTAAGTCACGTTCAGTACTCACGTGTTGCAAAACGTGCTGCTCCAAACTGTGTGTTGACGAACTTGCTACGCACCGTCAGCAAGTGGCACTTTGTGGGGTTCATTGGAAGGTGGTTCCTTTCTGCCCATTCATTTATCCGGTCCAGATCGTTCTGGAGATAGGCTTGGTCGGAGGTGGAGCGAATTGCTCTCCATCTCAGCGTCATCTGCAGATATTTGCGTTGGAGATTGAATGTTTGCGAGAGGTCATTGATGTAGTTTAGAAAACAACAACGGGCCGATGACGGATTCTTGCGGTACACCACTGGAGACGCACAGGCTTTCAGATTGAGTGCCGGATATTCTTACATCGAGTGAGCAGGGAATCGTGGATATCGTACGCACCAAGCTTTCAGAGGGAAACCAAATGATTGACTCTGTCTAAAGCCTTAACAAAGTCTATGTAGATCACATCTATGGGGACTCCTTTGTTAGCAGCGTCGGTCCAAGTATCCCGAGCAACAAGCACATTGGTGAGATAAGATCGTTTACGTATGAAACTACTTTGGACATTGGGGATTATATGCAAACTTTCAAAATATTGCGTTAGTTCATCTGCGACTATCGACTCCATCACTTAATAAAACAAGTAGGAGAGTAATAGGTAGGTAGTTGGCAGGATCCGATTGCTTACCTCCTTTTTATATAGTAGGGATGATTCCACTTTTCCACTCAGATAAGAGTGTGTATGTGAATCAAGTAAACATTGGAAAAGACTGCGACGTCTAATGCAATGATACAGACATCATCATCAACAATAACAGTAGAATCTCATATGTTCCCTATTGTGCACGATTTCTTTTCATGCCCGATAGGGTTCCCAACCATGTATGCTCGTGATCCTTGCGTCCTCGGCCAGTGAGCCGAAAGCGCCCAACCGCGGCCAAATTCGAGGTCAACGCCTTCATACTTTTTTCCACCTTGCTTTCGCTTACAGCCGACTTTTGCGCGCGCGAACAGTGTGCATCGAGACAAACGCTCAGTAAGCATGAGAAACACGTATCCAAGCCATCGGCTCAACGGGCCGCAAGGTGAAAATCCTTAGACAACACCCTCATTACCAATGTGATGTTGCCACCGTACGCCAGCAATGCTGAAGTCAGACAGTCTCTGCACGTCCTTTGCACGAACAGGCCAGGTCTCACAACCGTGGCATTGCAGATTCGGCCCTTCAGTGAGAAGCTCAGGTCGTATCGACGGCAGAGATGGTAGAGATTAGCGAAAACAACCAATCCATCCGTTAAACCGTTAGAGCTGGTGCAGCTTCCGAGGTAAACAAACCTGGCTTTCACTTCCGGAGAATGACCTGAAAGAATAAGGCTGGGAGCAGCTTTCAACCAGTCTTATAGGATGAACACACTTCGATGGATCGAAGTTCATTGCAAACTGGGAGACAGCGCGTTTTGAGCGGCTTATGGGGAATCGCAAATTACGGCGATGTCGTCTGCGTTGTTCAACTCGCGAAGTCAGTCCCCCGGAAGCAGCTCAACGCCACTGGGTTCCAAGTTCTCCAGAACGCTCTCAGGATGTCTTTTATATCGAAACTAAACAAGGACGGTGCTGGGCAGCCCTGTCTCACGCCACTGGTGATACTAAGTAGGGGTGAAAGTTCTCACACCCTCATTTGCTCCAAGTTTCGAGGGTAGAATGCTTGGAGAATGTTGACATCCTTCTCGGGCACTCACCTCAACAGACAGCTCCAGAGAGTAGTTCGGTTAACTGAGTCAAACGCGGCTCGTATGTCTAAGAAGACAGCGATCGTTGGCTGGCCGGACGTTTGACGATACTCGACTATTTGTCGGAGCGTAAAGATGTGGTCGATAAAACTCCAGCCAGAGCGGAACCGGGTTTGCTTTCCGTTCATGTTCTGCTTGCGTACCAGGCTGAGGCTTCTTAAAACTAGAGCGGCGAGCACTTTAGATATAACGCAAGATACTAATCACCATGTGCTAAACGCGGTCTGTTCGCGCCCCTTTTTTGGAAACGGGCACGATATCCGCTGGGCTCCAATCAGTCGGATTGCTTCGGTGAGCCAAACCTCTTGAAAGAAGGAAGTTAACTACCGAACACGTGGTAGACCTCCACCTTTGCAAAGAGCCGCAGGGAGTTCGTCTGGGCCAGGGGCTTTGTAGCGCTTTAGGAGGCGAAGCTCATGAGCGATCTCGGCTTCAGATGGTGATGAAGCGTCTATACAACTGCTGGCTAGTTATTTGCTGTTCAAAATGCACGACCCTACGCACAAGTCGACGTTGTTGGCAGTGGATTGGCTCACCATTGGTTTCGCGCAAAACTGCGCTTACAGTCGGCTTTTGACACTAGTGATCGGATCATGATAAAACGTTTTCGGAACTTTCCTGAGGTGGTCGGTTGCTCTATCTCAATGGTCTGCTGCATCCATCAGGCATGGCGATCCTTCCGGAAGAGTCGTTTGAGTTCAGCGTTGGTCCTGCGCAGTAAATGGTACCCAAAGCCATCAGAAATTACCCGATGAGCTTCGAGAAGCTGGAGAGATCGTGCACAGAACCAATAGTTGACAGGACTACTACACAATATCGCAGAGTTGTGCATGACGCTATGGATGTGTGCCTGTTGTATTTCAGCGTCTGAACGCCTGGTGCTCTTGAGGTTTGAGGCCATCGCGCCCTGAAAGGCGCTGAGAATGCCTGGGGCAGAAAACCGAGTCACATCAGGCCCTTTCCGGCGACGCTGTCGGTAGCCACCAACGTAGAGCGATTTTCACACACAAGAGCGCGTGATCTGAAGTGTGGTAAGTCAACAACAACAGCAGTACATCAGCCATTTGAACTGACGCCTCGCTGTCATACAACAATGAGGACCTATGAAATAGAGAATAAGAAGAGGGAGAGAAGGGGGACTTACCTGAAAACCTTAATGCCCTAAGCAAACATTCAGGGTCAAGGCGCCTACACCTTGTGTAGACAACCTACCGTCACAAACAGCTGGCTATGGTGCAAAGATAAGGCGGCATCGGCGAGACAGCTTCCTTGCGGCTTTCGCTGCCCCGCGTCATAATCAGCCATTACCCCGCAGCTAACTCAGCACCAAACACATTTTAAACAGACAATCCGATTAGGCGACGACAGTAGACGCGCCACTAGTGTCCGTTGCGAGCCATGACCTATAAAGTCTCGAGCCAAGCACAAGGCGAGTCACGTGGACTCCAGCTCGGAAGGCGAGACGGATCAACGGCACCCAGTTTGGTCGTCAGTGACTTCATTTCCCGCTGCCAAGTCAACTTCTGTCCACCGCGAGCCTTGCGCCACCCTACACCTGGCAGATTAAACAAGGCCCTCCTAGGTAAGCGGTGACCAGGCATAGGTAGCATGTGCCCGAGCCAACGCAACTTATTCAGTGCTATCTGTTATTCTAGGGAGCTAGCATGATTATCACTACCTAGTACTCGCCTACGCACATGATCGTTGCGGACTCGTTGGTGCCATCCGACA